CATCTCGACTATCGCAGGGACCCTGAATGGAGCGTATTGTCAATCGTATTTATGCGTGTGTGTTTGTATGACCTCGAGTGGAGGAGGGGCCGCCGAGTCGGCCTTTTCCTGCAACCACTGTGTTAGGAAAATCAAGGGAATGACTCATTAAATACGGTCATAATTTATTAATGAACCAAAATATTTCAAATGAGCGTCCCCAAATTTTCTTAACACAAAGCGTGTGGCCGTGTACAGGAAGTGTATGTGGTGTTTCTAAATTTCGCATGCACCATTTATAACATACAAATCAGAGAAAAAAAACCTCCATAATTTGTTGATTATTTATTGATAATATAGGTTACAGGTATATGTATTATAAATCATAACAAAAAAGAAAATATTTCAACACATACAGAATCAGCTTCTTATGAAAAAAAAGTTATATATTTTTCATTCGTTGACAATTTTATAATGACCCCAAGGCAAAGTTTCAACTACATTATTGGGTAATATATATCGTTTATTGTCCGATGAATCGAGTGCTTTTTTATGAATTTTTACGGTAAAAACTTGGTGGTTTTTCGACTGGATTGTATTAAAAGTGCAATTCTGATTTACTTCATTAAATAAACATTTATAAAAGTCATCAAACGTAATATGCTTTATGGCTGTTTTACCAACACCTTTAAGTTTTCGAACGCTACTATCTTTTCCGTCGATTTTGAAGCCGTACACTTTTGATTTAAGCGATACAAATTCGGTCATTATTTTACCACATAGTTCATCTTTAAATTTTCCTGGTACCTTTTTATTCGCTTGTGGAATACCCCACTGATTATCGACAGGCAAATCTGAAGTGTCAAATAACAAAGATGCGTAATCTCGAATTATATGATAAATATCGGTTGTATCTTCGTTACGTAAAGTTGTAAATTCGTAAATGAAACTGTCGGTATCCATATATAATAATTTGGAAGCGAACCAATTTGATAGGTCTTTTTTGACAAAATTATAATGAAAATCGTACATTAACGTTTTTGATAATTCTAAAATTGTAAATCCTACGTAAATCGGCTTCTCGAAATTTATAGTTGTTTTATTCAATTCAACAACAACCAAATCTTCGTTTATAATTTGCGAACACTTAAATTCTGGCAAAGAGATATATTTTCTAGCGGTAAACCAATTGTTTGCTAGTTTTATTTTACGTTTCTTTCGATCGTTTTCCAGTGTTTTGCCATAATTGGCATTTATCATCAATTTAAAAAAGTCTTTTTCAAAAGCAGATTTGGCTTGCATTCGTAAATCAGTATTGAACATTATATATGGCTTTAACCAAGGTTTTTGTGAGAATTCTAAAACACGATGTATTTTTATCACTTTCAGACCGAAATGCACTGTTTGTCTTAAGTTCTCAAGATGAATTACGTATTTAGTTTTGTCGCATAAAGTGCATAATAATTTCTCTGAATTATTTTGCGAATTAGGAGGCATCTGATGTTCACAACAAAATGGTAATTGTTCATGTAAATCATGAAGAGACTGCGAATATTCCAAATCAACTTCTAAAATACAACATTTATCAGCAGTGTTTGCATAGCATGTATTTATATCTAGACTTTCAATTTCGAAATTATCTAACCACCTAAAATGATCGTATGGTAAACTCTGGCACTGTGCCCATCCGTAAAGATTACATACGTCCCAATAAATTAGATATTTAGTATCCAAATTTGGATCATATGACGAACAATACTTATTATTGGCTTTTGAATATCGACATATAGATTGTGATATACCACCTCTTAAAGCTTTTTCAATGAAAAGGGTCATATCGATATCTGTGAATAATCTGAGTTTAATTTGTGTCATTTTCAAAGCAGCAGCCCATGATAAGCCAGGTGCTGTAAAAAAACCGGCAGCATCGAGTCCATAATACTTCATAGTCAGATTTCTAAAATTTTCAAAGCAGTCAGCTAAAAGCAATACGTCGAGTTTCAAATAAAACAGGGCGTAATCACTTAAATTTTTAATAGAAAATTCATCCCATATTAGTTTAGCGTGAGCATAATCTTCGTCTGATATGTGTTCATCGTGCAGACTACTATAAAAATAATGTTTTTCAGGCAGTTTCGTTTTCGATAATTTATCCCAACAATCTAAGTACTCGTAACAAAACACTTGTTTTCGTGTTAACAATGGAAAACTTTTTACATCAGAAAAATATGACTTTGTAATTAAAAGTTGATCGGGAGTTAGATTTTTAACAAGAGAATCTAAGGACGAAGATAAAAACCTGTATGAATCTAAAAATGTAACTCGAGTTTGATTGAAATAAGTCGAAAATCCAATATATTTTTCCATATTTAATGGTACCAAATTGACATAATTACTACGAGCCAATTCCTCAATAAAAAGATGAGCGTCATACCCACTAAGATTATGTAAAAAAACGGGTATACTATAATCTTTTTTGCATTGTAAATTACAATTTTGACAATACGGTGCTATATATTTCCCTGTAAGATGATCATGATGGTGGACTTTTGGATTGGTTTCGCAATAAACGCGACCGCAGATAGGACATTCCATTGACGAATTATAATTTAATTTTTCCTCGTCCGAAAGGGGCAACATTGGCAAATCTCGCGAGCGTAGAATTTGCGACATTTTGTTAATTTCTTTCTGAAGTTTTGCAATGAACCAAGAAGCCGGTGTTTGATCATTTGGTGAACTGGCAATATAACTAAAGAATGTATTTAAACTATTGTCAAAAGAACAGACACTCGTGAACGCTACACTGTAAGGTATATGTCGATATTTCATCGGATGATCATTACCTTTAATTAACAAACATTCAAAATCTGCATAAATAACAAAACCTTTTTTAAGAAGCGCTTTGTAATTTGAAAATTCTAAATGAGCACTAGATTCATCAGGTAAAGTAATCTTAACTGGAGAAAATAATTTACAATCCTGCTGATGCGACTCGTAATGTGATTTAAGGGAGAAATGATTTAAACATCTATCGCAAATGAACATTTTCGCTTTATGAGCCGAAATATTTCTTCCACAAACTTTACTTAAGTCGCTAATAAGACAATAATGGCCATGTTTGGATCGAGTCTTTTTTAAATATAATAAATTTATGTGATGGTTTTTTACATTTTTTGTATGATATATAGGGCCTTCAATTTCATGCGTTTTGTCATTGACCGTGAACACGTTAATTGATATGTTAGAATTTTGAGCTTCAAATTTAGGAATACTTGATAACTGAACAGGCATTTGTACACCACGTAAATTTAATATATCGTGATAGTTCTGCGGATAGGCATCAGTACGTTCATAATTACTATCTTTACAGGGATAAAGACTTGCAAGTACCGACCATACAAAACAAAGACGATCAGTATTCATTATATTAATAATGCCTCCTTTCTTTTTCAATTCTGTTGGCAACGGTATGTAGATTCGGCCGTTTATTGGAGTGTACTTGTTGAACGCAACCATTAGCTGACATATTTTCCGTAGACTCCATCCAGATTTAGATTCTGCGAATTCTTCCATCTGTAATAATACCATACCTTGTTATTAAGTGAAAAAAAAAATCTAAATAACTTACTTTGGTTTGAATAATTCCAGCTAAATCGTCAATAGATTTCTGAATGTCGGTCGATAATAAAATCATAGTGTTGGGTGTGTTGAAATACTTCAGGGACACTTCTCCTGTCGATGGAATTATGTATTCACAAGACATCTCGAAATTTAGTTTAATCGCTGTCATCTTTTTGAGAATATTTGTGATTCTTGAAAAAATTAACGGGCTGGCGTCGTGAAAAAATCGACGAATATCAACAAGATTCTCATCTAAATTAACAACTGCTCCTGTTCTCACGCGACCGACGAAAGCTGATTTTACCTAAGTAAAATTAATGTTTCTTATTTGATACTAAGGGGAATGAATAAAACTTACCTCTATCCAGCGAACCTTACTGTTTCTTCTCTTTTTACTATTACCGTATCCAATTTTTTCATTCTCGATTTTTGATTCGATATGTAAATTTAATCCTTTGATACGTGCTAAATAATTTTCCAATCTTCTTTTCTCCCCAACACAGTCAGAATTTCGCAATACACCATTCACGATTCGTAGATTTTTTCGATTCAATTTTAACACTTTTTCTAATTTCTGGACGTTGTTGTTACACAGTTGCATCATTTTGGTAACAGAATCGATCATTTTCTCGATTACTTCTGTTGTAGCTGATTCCATTGTGAAAAAAAAAAAAAACACCACTAAGTACTAACACTAATAATGCTGATTAAATATAAATTGATAATAATTATATTGTTATATCTGCACGATTTCGTAGAGATGCGCTGGGTTGCTCTTTCCAGTGTCCTTGGTGCCATGATATACCAAAGCCAAACAAAGAACGTCCTCATGGATAGATTCGATCAAGTCATCGGACATATTATCTGCCATCCTTTTTGGTAAAAATATGACACCTTCTTCGAGTTCCACAAGGACACAATCACCAAATTTTCCTTTAACTTTTTTCACATCACAAATCGGGTATTTCTCACCAATCTTTAGCTCATCGGGATTTAATTTCGGTTTAGTTTCACATTTCCCAATTTTGTTCAATTCATTCAAACTAGCAGCCATTTTATATTTTCGCTGATATGAGAGTTAAGATTTCACACGTAGGTACTGCACGCAAGTGAGTCGCGAATATGAATAGATAGCTCTATTATTATTGTTATTCATTATTGTGGTAGGGAATTAAAACAAAGACGCTTTTATTTATTTTTTATTCATTTATTTATTTTATCATTCAGCCTACAAATTCTTGAATAGTACATGTCTGCAGGAAAAACGCTGAAATAATACATTTAATAATTATTATTAATCGTTCGATGCGAGATCAGAAAAAAACTTGAAACTTTTCCGTGCTGGTAATTTTGAAAATTACATTTGTTATATATATGTTAACAAAAATCTAAATTTAATATTAATCGGTTGATGCGAGATCTGCAAAAACCTTGAAACTTCGCTGTGCTAGCAGTTCTTTCATGCAGTGTAAATTAGCAGTCGTAGCATAATAAATTTTTTCAGGTGGGACATATTTTAAGTAACGAATCATATTATTATAAAAATTACAAAATTGTAACTCTTCTAAGAATTTTAATCTATAACATATTGTTTCGTCTAATGCTATGATTTCACGGCAAAGCGCTGGTCCTAAATGTAAAACCGTATCGCCTCTTCTCAATTCGATGACTGTTGGTCCACTGCAAAAATCATGTGATGTTGCAATGTTCAATTCGAAACCGTCGAACTGAAATTTCTTAGGAGCATCACAGTCCAAATTCGATGTTTCAAAATGTATTTTAATTAAAATATTCAAAAACTGCACAAAACACTTCCAGTTTTCTGTAGTAAATGTTACACAACGATTTTGCCAGTTCAGAATTTTTACGACATGTAAAAAATCTAACACAACACTTAAGCCAGTAGAAATGCGAAATAAGGGATTCGTCAATTCATATTTTTCTTCAAATATCGAATTTTTCTCATGATTTAATTCGTCGTCTCGATCAAGTAACGGAAAGTCATCATCTATCGAAATAGTACGGGAATCGAAATTGATGCTGTTAACGTTATTTCTTGCTTTCGCAAAAGTAGGACAATCGCATGTTGTGTATTCACTAGCACTTTTATCACGGTGCATGCTTGAAATGCAAGCACCTTCGTCCATGGCTGAACGTAAACTAACACAAATGTTCATTTGAATCAAGCTGATAAAATAATAGACCGTAAGTACTAACTTTTTCTAAGATTATTGCACTCACATGTCACATGATGTCAACTGACCAATCAAACGCGTCAATATTTGTAAATTCAACCAATCAGCATACAATTACGTGATAATTGCACACTGTGCAATTACCACTACCGATAATTATCACTAGCCAGATGTGCCAACTATAAGATAAGCAAGTACCAGTTAATTGCAAAAAAAAACAAGAGGTTACTAACCAAATATTTAATTATGAAACTAAGAATTGTAATTAATTATGGTACAGTTGTAGTAATTTACAGGGGTTTGTGTGCTTGGTGAAGTAGTAACTATATTTTTAGACATTTGTACCAAAGCAGACGGTGCGCAATTTGTGGATTTGTTATTAGACTCTTCCATAGCCGTTGAGTTGGCGCGTAATTTGTCAATCATTTGATAATGATGATCTCCATCGAGCTGAAGGTATGGTTTGATGGAGAAAGTATTGGCATGACCGGTAATCTTTATAAGCTGTTCTTCACCGACTCCCGCTTTTGCAAGTTGCGACACTGCAGTTGACCGTAATGAATGATTACTAATCTTCTTTTTCTTTATGTCGATGCCTATTTCTTCTGCGGCGGTTCTTGTCCATTTCCCCATTTCATTCCTTCCAACGGGTGAATTTTTGAACCATCCTACAGAACTAGGTTCTCTCCATGCAGGATTTGGCGTTAAAAATAAACGATCGGTGGTTATATGTTTACCTCTCTTGCTCAGCATTTTTTTGTAGAGCCTTAAATAATAAAATAATTATTATTTTGTATTTGAAACAGTATTTAATTACCTAACAGGGCAAATTCTAGGATCTGTGGTGTTTGTTGCAAGCCATTTGCTGTCTGTTAATTTATGGCTACCTCCTTGAGCTGTTTTGGAAAAAATACAATTGTATTCTATTCGCCCCGTAGGCAAACCACAATTATCACTTTCTTCCTTAAAATGTTTGATAGTAACGTTAACACCTTCACATCCCCTCCAAGCTAATTCTAATCCAGCCACATAAAAAAACATTTTCTGTAAACCATCTGGCGTGTCTTCGTTATAAATCTTTAGAATCTTGTTGTATTCTTCTAGAGTCAAAATTGAGGAACTAGTTTTGCGTTTTTCCGGTTGTATTTGTAGGTTCCGGCGTTTTGCGTCGCGTGCATTTCTACTACCCTTGAATTCCAGGTCAACAAAAGGATCAAACTTTATACCAAATTTATTGAAATACAGTTCTTGCAACTGCTTTGCCGTTACATTCCACATCGTTTTTATTACTGCTTCTTTGTAGTCATTACCATCGACTTTTTTCATATTGTACCCCCAATCTTTGAGGATGAATGCTAGTTTTTCCGTGGAAGTGTTTCCATCAAAAACATATTTGCGTTCACCGCAAAACTTCTCAAATTGCCTCCAGATTGAATTTCGTGAGTTCTTCGTATTTAGCGGCGTAATGTTTGTAATAGAATCATCAATTTCTTTTGGCGTGTTACGACCAAAACGAAAATTGGACATGGTTTTTTAAACCCACACAAATTTTGCAAAATGGCTGTTCTTATTTACTTGCGTCGCCATAGTATCGCACACCAAACTACTTCGTAAATCATTATAAAATTATTTTTAAAATGTTTGTTCTTGCAATAATCTGTTGAATATATTGCGTGCATCACAATGAAATCGATAATTTTGAACAACAATAATCTCTCATGCTTGTTGCCTAAGAAAAATGCACTCGTGCTAAAGCACTCGTGCGTTTTCAATGCAACAAGCATTCGAGTTATTGTTGCTCAAAATTATCGATAACATTGCGATGCACTTAATATATTATAACTGATAACAAAAACTCTGCACATGTCAACAAAAAAAAAAACTTCAATATTAAGTTCCACAAACAATTTTATTTAAGGTAATTTTCCAATCAACCAATTGTATATAGTCTTACAATTTTCGTAACTACATACACATGCTGTTTTCTGTCCGTTTATGTGGTGCGTACAATTGTACGGTATACACTGAAGAAGGTGTGGAACGTCCAGTGTGTTTTCCAAATTTATTAGACGAATTCCATTATATTGTCCAAGGTTGAATTGGAGAAAGTGTTGTTTGATGTGTCCTTTTACATAGACCGTGTCTACTTGATCCTGTATAATATGTTTGTATAAAATATTCGGGACCTCGTTAGAATCTACGATGCCGTCGTTGTATCTCAGATGATGATGATTGTTTTCGAACCATCGTATATGTTTTTTAATTTTCGGATCAAGATCTTTAAACGGCTTGAGTGATTTAATCCAATAATGCGCTACATACCGACCATCCGTGAATGTCATCTCCTTCGGTATAAATTCAGGAATACAAAATCCCTGCATATCTATTACCAGAAACTTCATCTTGTTCAGACTGTCAAACCAAGACTGATAAATTTTTTCGATCTGTGTTCAACTTTTAATACAGGATTTAAAATTTGTTCAGTCCTCAGAATACGTAAACGAAATCTATCTCTATCTGCAGCACATTGTATCCATTTATCACCTCTTCTGGCTTGAGAGTAAGCGTATGACCAATGACACATATAATGAATAGTTGGAGGTGCTTCAGAGAAACTAACACTTTTTTTCATATTAAGAATTGCACTTTTTCACTTTTAGGTCTATATTCAATTATCTTATCGTGTATAATTAAACAATAAGCCTTGGTCGATTAGGGAAAATTTTCATGACTTTCAAATTCTAACTTTATGTCTACCACTGACGCTTTCAGAGGTTCAGGTTGTTTTGAACAATCAATTACAAACAGAGGTGTGTTGGCAAAAGTAGAGTAGTCAATTATTGGATCGGCAGCAGAATTTCCAGTCAACTGTTGCACTAAATTCATATATGCCGTATATGCTGATAGATACTGATTAGATGTAAAATCGAGACTATGATCTGCATAAGGATAAACACTTGAACCCACCCATGCTTGATATTTTCTCAAGTTAATATGGCTGAATTTCGCAACATCTTTTTTATGATTGTCTTTTATGTTTGTTTGGAATGCGAGGACGATGTATCTGGGCGTTTCCAAATTTGTCGTTGTTTTAATACTCCAAATTTCTTTGTCAGTGCCTGTTTTTAACTTTGGTAATTCATGAAGTTCACATTTTCTGTAACCTATAGTTATAGGTTTATCGGTTTGAATTTTCGGCCATAGCGTTATTTTCGCTTTGTCGCTGGGATAAATGTGCTTTGCTTGTATCGACACGCTATGCACTTTTATGGTTGCTTTCTTTGCACTTCCAGTGACCATATACGCGTTATCATCATTGCGACTGCGTACAAGTCGTATAGAATGATGTCCAAACATAACGTTTCTATAGTAAAAGAATATACCAAAAATATAACTAAATGGCACCCATATTTCAAATTTCTTGGTTTTTTCGTCTTGGGTAAGTATTGTATGGCCTGTTGCATTTGGATTCCAACCGGCTTGTATAAGATTCTTAGACTGATTTGCTGAATAAGCACAATAATTATGAATGGTTGTTGTAGTACCAGGATCTCTTATTTTTTCAACTTCTTTGCCATTAAAAGAGTAAATTATGGATTCAAACAGGTAAAGACCTGCATTATTTGTTAATTTACATTCTCCCGCAACAGGGGTTTCTGTTTTTTTACTTTCTATAGCAACAGGTATTGTAGTAGTTGCTTCTTCTTTTAGTTCGCCAATAATGCGAAGTTTCGAATCACTCATGCAAATAAATGCATCAGGTTGATGAATGTCAATTTGTATCTCATCACTGTTATTAAACGATTGCACGTAAGGATAATAAGTACGTTCCTCTTCTCTATCTACGCTTTGGTCTATTGAGGGGGATTGATAGATATCCAAAATTTCTGACATTGTAACCCAAGGAACGTAGAATGTAAACGCTGTACGGTGATAGTGTCTTCACTGGCGAATATCTGTCAACTAAAGATGCGATCCTAAATGACTTCTTATTTATATTACGTGTGTTATTGCGAAATGTAAGACCCATTAATAGTTTTTAATTCCAATCGGACCACTACTTCTTCACCACGAAAGTTGACGGGATCTGAGTTTTGATCGATCAGTTTGATGGTTATTTTATCAATGACGTTTTTGTTAATTAATGGCAAATATAAAGGATGCATTGGTTCGATATTTATGGCATATCCAGGATCTACTGTTGGAGAGAATTCATAGAGGGTGTGACAAGGTAGGCCAGCGTAAAATGAACCTGTCACAATGTTACATTCCACTCGAATTGACGTTACTTTAATAATATTTACAGGCATATCAGACTCGTGTTTTGTATTCGCTACTAATACTTTTTTAGAGAAACCCAATAAATTTCCTAGTGTCCCTTCTTTACCAAAATCAATATTGTAGATACTTTGTAGTTCTGCTTTCAATGTGTTATTATTCGGTTTCAACGAAAAAATTTGATCTCTCGATGTTTTAGTCGATCCATTGATATGTTCTTGGATGTAACGTTCCAGATCGCTTATTTCATAGCTACCTGTCGGAATAATTAATTTCTTTAGATCCACATCTTCTTTCTCTTTCGAGTTTGACGACGATGAAGAATAATAATAATAAAGTTTATCATTTACTCCGGTTTCGACGTTAGGTATGCTATTATATGTGAATAATCCTATTAATCCCAAACAATAATCGTAATTAGGATTTAATTCCACAGGTGGATATAAATCAGCTTCTAGGAAGCTACCGTGACCTTTTAGTGTGAAGGTTCGACTCATGACTAAATAAAAACTAGTTTTGCTTACAAATTTATTGAATCAAGAACTGCAAACATAAATGTCCACAATTGTATCCTAGATTTTGGTATTTATCTTGATTATATAGTATTCTACAATTATTTAGATAACTTACTAGCTCTGAACACGGTTTCAGATTACCGAAACTATCAAAGTATCGTATAATATTGTTCGATTTCTTATAGGCTACCCAATGAGTTCCACATCCATGTTTTGAATCCAAATTTACAATACCAGATTCATGTTTTCGAGGACCATCTTTTGGCAGATCATCTCTCATGAAAACGTCTCGAAAATGTGGAATGTTTAAGAGTTTTGCGTACTTCCGTAGATCAAAGTCCGTGAGTGCTCTTTTGGGTAGCCTTATTGGAAGTTTTTTCGAAACTTTTTGAGAAAAAGTCCATAACCTTTGAGATGTTTCATCAAGTATAAACCATCGCCCTGTTTACCTATAGCTATAGCTTCCATTTGTTTGTTATGTCGTTCAGATTCTTCCAACGCTTTTTTCGCCGCTTTAGCATCGTTAATCGCTTTAGCTATACCTGCGGCCCCTCCTGAGATAGCACCTATAGCCGATAAACCAGCAAATATTGCAGGTAAAATTGGTAGTATACCACCTATTTTAGGCAGTGGTATTATTCGTGGTATTCGAATGCGTTTTTTACCACCAGCTTTTTTCACCGCTACACGGGCTGTTTTTAATAAGGTCGACACATCATCAACATCATTAATTTGTTTCTTCAATTTTTTTAACACAGCTTTTTGAAGAGTTGTTTGCGTCTGCGGTTTCTTCTTCTTCGAATTCTTTCTTTGTAGTTGCAAACTCATCCCTAACTTTCTTTTAACTTTCATTGCATTCGTTACGAACCAAGCACTTGCTTTTTCTCCTAACGAAGCGTCTGATGCTTTGACACGTGCCCAAGCCTTGTTTTCTAAAGTTTCGTCTGCTTTATGTCTTTCTTTCAGATCTTTAGTTCGTGAATATGCGATATCGTGCTCTTTACAACTTCTATCTAGCTCGTTAATTCCAGGGTCGCCGCGTTCAAGCCTCTTCGCAAGCTTAGTACCCGGACCGCAATATTGATAACCAGGTAAATGTAATTCGACAGGTAATTTGTTAATGAGACTGTTAACAAGTCCTTTACCTTTGATGACTAACATTGAACTGAACAATCTTTATAAAAACGAACACTGTATATATATTTATGTTAGTATAAACAATGAAGATCGTTAAGCAGCACACGATCCTGTCAGTGAAGAATCACGATATTTCTGAAACAAAACTACAACCATCACGACATGGGGAACTCTTTCCTAATACCGTTC